CAAGTCAAACAATGTGGTAGAATATTTTCAGATATATTTCATTCTCCGAAATGAGGTATTTATAATATAAGGTTATAAACCCTAGTAGGGTTTAATTAGGAAATAAGTGGAATCCTAATTACATAATATCTATATAAAATGAAAAATAAATAAAATCCAAATAGAATAGGATATACTCGCCAACACCTTGATCCAACTATATCCAGTATTTTTTGGCACCCCTCCTTCTATCATTTCCCTCCTTATCTTTGTAGCATCTTTCCAACTACCTCCTTCAGAGTAAACCATTGACAATAGTACATAAGGTACATCATTTTCTGGAACTAACTTCTTTAAAGTCCATTCTCCGAACTCTATGTTCCCACGTATCCGACAACCACTAAGCAAGGACCTTAGTATAGCAGGCCAAGGAGTATAAGGCATTCCTTCAAGGCTTCAAGGCCTCAAGGCTCCAAGGCCATAGCCGCGTCTCTGCCATGTGAATCATAATTTGACACATATGCAAAAATAATTAATCAAAAACACAAAAAGAAAAACCTATGCACACATGTCACGCGGCTATTGGCATGAATGTAAGAGCTCCTACTTACCTAGTAAGAAGCAGAAGTATTTTTCATGTCAAATTGTTTCTTGAAGTTTTAATGTTTAAGTCTTTACTTCTCCACTAATTTTTCCTAGAGGAAAACACTTTGGCTGGGCGAGTCCCTTTTGCTAATGTGGACAGAACCAAGGTAGTAGCGGGACCGGTTGTGTAAACTGTGCAACAATTTGGTGTCTTGAGCATCCACAATGGGCTCCCTAAACCGCCTCCTTAGACAAAGTTTAGGGAGGAATTGGAAAAATGCAACTCCAATCATGCTCCCTATCCACCTCCTAAAATAGGTAGACTTCTAGGAACTCCTAAATCTGAGGAGAGAAAAAGGACTCCTAGTGGCTACCTATAATTTAAGGGTCATACTAGGGAGACCAACTTGGGATACCAACTTGTGTACCAACTCTCTAATAGAGGTGGAGCCCACCAATTACAATGGGTCCCACGCTCTATTAGAGAGTTGGTACACAAGTTGGTATCCCAAGTTGGTCTCCCTAGCATTTTCCATAATTTAATGATGCTATTTTATGAGTATCTTAAACCTTTAATTAATGCTAATTATTTTTTTATATATTTTTTTTTATAGAGATGGACTAATTAAAAAAAAAGTTATAACATTTATGACTCCCTAAACTAGAGAGTATGATTGGAGTTAAGATTTTATAGAGAGCTCTTTAAAAAAAAAATTATATGTTTTTAGCTAAATTTTAACTAAAAAATAGAGATCATGATTGTAGATGCTCTATTTGGACAAAGAGTCTTGGGTGAGGCAATTGAACCACGTCACCCATCTCACTCAAGACTTTCCGCTAGACTTCACTATTTAGCTAGAAGAAAAGAGTAGAAGCTAGTGTAGTAGTAATTGTGTCATATAGAATAGGGTTATTCGCAGCAATGGTCCCTCAACTATACCCCAAGTTACACTTTGGCCACTCAACTCAAATATTAGTTGCAGAGGTCACTCAATTAGGTGTTTTGTTGCACCGTTAGTCCTACCGTCAAGTCTGTTACTTTTTCTGTTTAAAATGATGACGTGGCAAGCATCTCTTAGATTATTGATGGGCAAATATGACTTTTCAGTTAAGATTATTTGTAGCAATGATCCCTCAACTATACTCAGAGTTACATTTTGGTCACTCAATTAGGTGTTGTATTGCACCATTAGTCCCTACCGTTAGAGAGACTTGACGGTAGGACTAACGGTGCAACAAAACACCTAATTGAGTGACCTTTGCAACTAATATTTGAGTTGAGTGACCAAAGTATAACTTGGGGTATAGTTGAGGGACCATTGCTGCGAATAATCCTATAGAATAATACATGAGATGAAAGGGTTGTTTACAAAGAACCCTAATTGCAAGCTACAAAATACAAGATAAGTCTAGCACATGAGAGACTGATCAACATGATCAGCTTACACATACAAGATAAACCAAGAGTAGGTAGAGGAACTATCGTTTATAATTTTCAATGGAAAGTTTGAATCTCACCAATGTCAAATAATTGTTTGACCCAAAAAAAAAAAAACAAAAAAGGAAAAGGAGAAACGAAAAGGACTAAAGTAGCTTCAACCTTTGTGACTCTGCATGTACTATGTTCCTTCCTTAATAGCAAAGAACTCTTCAGTCGTTGGTTCGTCAACAACACTCACTCATAGAGGCAGTGACTCTGGTGAGTGCTTTGTTTTTATTCTTTTTCTTTTTGTGTGTTTCCTTTTTCATGTTGGCTTTTCATTTCTTCAGCTTCTGCTTCCTCCTTTCAATTCATTTGTATGTAACATTGTAACTCAGATGATCTTTGTCTTTGGTATCTCAACTGGTTGCTTGACTTGTGTGTTTTGATCACAGAAAGAGGGACACCATGTCAATTTTTCTTGAAGTTTTGAAACGCCTGTTTGGAATTGAAGATGAGCATGAGAATCAAATTCCCAGACAAACTTATGATTATAAAATTTCCAATAGAAAGTGCTCGCCACCCTTGACTTCTACAAATCAATCTCCAGCCTGCTATAACTATAAACCCCCATCACCTCCATCTCAACCAGTCAAATCTCCCTTTAGTTCATCTTCATCAGCCCCTAAGCCTCGGACATCATCATCGAAACCGCTGCAATCTTCTTATATCAGTACATCTTCTCCATCTCCTAAATTCCCAACATCTTCTTCTTTTGATCCATTTTCAACATTCTCTAAGCCCCCAACATCTTCATCTAAGCTGCCTCAATCAAATTTTGTTAATCCATCTTCTTCCAATGCATCTCCATTTATTCTTGAATTCCCAACATCTGTATCTAAATTACAACAGTCTGCTTCTGTTGATCAGCGTTCAGCATTGCCTAAACCCCCAACATCTTCATCAAAGCTGTCCCAATCCACTCTTGTTAGTCCATCTTCACCATCCCTTCGACTCCAAACACCTTCATCTAGACCATCTCCTCCTAAACTCTCTACATCCTCCTCTAAACCACCTCAGGCTTCATCAAAATCACATTCATCATCACCAAATCCTCCAACATCTTCAAAACCATCTCCATCCTCGGGACCGCCTGTGTCTTCCACTACGCTCCCTCCAATCTTTAAGCAAGTTCTATCCCCAGCCTCCTCAGATGTAATAAATGAAAAGGGGAAGAAAAGTTATGTATCGGTTGAAAAGGGTTCATTACCTATATTCGCGATTCCTGAGGATTTCAAAGATTTGATCAAGAATGAGATTGTGCCTAAAGTTCTTAAACAGCCTCTGTCTCCCACGACATATAAGGAATACTTTGCTGCTCTGTTATACTCTGAAGAGTTCTACCATGAGGTATGCAAGAATCTTGCCCATTTGTAATGCCCTTTCTTCTTAACAAGATAGTGAAGAAAATTATGACAGATATCATACCATTTATATAAATATGTGCGTAAAGCACTTCTCTAAGTTTCAATTTTCAGAAGATTTGACGATATTATGTGATTTCAATGTTGATTATATAGCACAGTTTTGAATGACTAGAAAAACATAGCTTATTTCATATTAGTAATCATTTTTCTCTGTACAAAGATTTGAATGGTTAATTATACTTGATGCTTCTTTGTTTGCATTGGTGACTGGCTATTGTTTTTAAATTATTTGAGTTTCATGTACATGCCTCTGCAACTAAATATTGATGCCAAAAGACAAATCTAAATACTGATCCAAAAAGACAAAAAGAATATCTTAAGAGCTGTGGTATGAATGATGGAATGTAGAATGCTGTGGTACAACATTCTTCTTTTCTAAATTTTGTATGATTTTTCATGCTTACTTTGAAAGAAATAAAAAAACCTTTGCTGTTATTTGAAACAGAAATGGGCTCATTTCAATATGAAGAATGTGACACTGAAGTTGCAAAAAGCAGCAGTTTACAAAAATCTAGACAAGGAAGAGAAAACCTTCGTAGAATTTGAGATTGATTCTGTTCCTGAAAATCGGCCATTCCTTTTGTCGAGGGACTTAGTCTATGTACGGCCATCAGGTACAAATGCTGAGCAGTTTCAGGTAAACTCTGAACATTCATTAACATTTGCTGAGCAATTTCTTAAAACTATCCGCATTATAATTATCTTATTGCATGTTATGCAGGGCATTATAAATCGCATTATTAGGAGCAATCTTGTATTAGTGGAATTTGAAGATGAATTTTATGATTATCATTATTCGACCCAAAAATATGATGTCAGCTTCTCATTCAATAGAGTATGTTTGAAAAGAGCTCACCAAGCAGTTCAAACAGCATCGGATACTTTGTTTAAAAACTTCCTCTTTCCCGATTGTGTTTCCCGTACGAGCATTCCCACTGCACCAGCGCTGCCGTCTGGCAGTCACAAACTTGACCCCAAACAATTATCTGCTGTTTGTCATATTTTAAGCATTCAGGGCTCACCACCTTACTTGGTGACTGGCCAGCTTTGTTTTGAAAGGAACGTTTTTAGGCCGTCGAGAACTGGAGCGGTTGTTTGTGCAGCAGTGCACCAGTTATGTCAAACCTCACTCAAAAATAGGATTCTGATATGTGCTCCTAGTAACCGCTGTTGTGATGGGATTATGAGAAGCTTGTTGAAAGTGATTCCAGAGTCAGATATGTTTCGAGCCAACGCTGCATTCCGTGAGAAAGATGAGGTGCCTGATGACATCCTCCAATCATGCCTTTACGAAGACCCTTATTTCTCTTGTCCTCCAACTGAGAAGCTTAAAAAATTCAGGGTGATTTTCTCGACTCTCATGAGTAGCTTTCGGCTACATGATAAAGGCCTAACTTCTGGACATTTTAGTCATATTTTTCTGGTGGATGCGTCCTCTGCCATTGAGCCGGAAACAGCAGTGGCCTTAACTAATTTTGCAGAAAAAAGTACTACTGTTATAGTCACTGGTCAACCAGGAGATCGTTCTCGTTGGGTTCGTGCAGACATGGCAAGGGAAAAGGGACTGAAGATTTCGTACTTTGAGAGACTCTTTAAGTCAAGGCCATATAGAAGCCTCAATGCAATGCTTATCACACAATTGGACGAGTAGCAAGAGCCACACTCAGCAACACCTACAGGCTTTTGCATTAAGCTTATAACGCTTTGCATAATTGCACGAAACATTTGACTGTTTGCTGTTTAAATTTCCTGGTTCTTGAGCCAAACCTAAAGATATTAGGGTGACTGTTTTGTTGTAAGTAGCCTTCTGCAATGTGTGGTGATTGTTTTTATTTGTGACTGTTTTCTTGTCAAATAATTATTAATCACCCTCCTAGGCTACTTTACCTCATCCTCCTGCATGTTCAGATCCTCTTCTATCTGAATCAATTTTGTTTCTTAACACATTAGAACCATGACCAGATTGATTGCATCAGTAACATTTGGCTGATAGCAGAGGAGCATAAAGATTTTCAGGTGCAAACTTTGCGTTGTTGGTTCCTCCTGTTAACTTAGTTCGACCAGTCCCCGACTCCTTTCAGGTGCAAACTTTGCGTTGTTGGTTGGTCGTTTGCTTTTGCTACTGCTCTTTTAGTGCTCACACCTGAAGTGGGATGAGGACCATCAAGTTCTGCTTCATCACTCGTTGCCAAGAACTGCAATATTAAGGACAAAAAGAGGTTGCAAAACAACTAATGATGTATATCCTTACTCCTTCCTACAGACCATGCTAATTGTTCTGTGCCATTTACATTTTGCTACATTAGTCGACTAAAATCTTCAAAATGTGAACAAACTTACCATTTTTCATGGCCCGGTTCCACATTTCTGTCCAATTGGTTTCTGGCTATACCTCGATCCAACTATATCCAGTATTTTTTGGCAGACCTCTTTCCATCATTTCCCTCCTTATCTTTGTAGCATCTTCCCAACTACCTCCTTCAGAGTAAACCTTTGACAATAGTACAAAAGGTACATCATTTTCTGGAACTAACTTCTTTGCAGTCCATTCTCCGAACTCTATGTTCCCATGTATCCGACAACCACTAAGCAAGGACCTCAATATAGCGGGCCAAGGAGTATAAGGCATTCCTTCAAGGCTTCAAGGCTTCAAGGCCATAGCCGCTTGAGCATACCCTCCAATCATAGTATTCCAACCAGCAGTATCAAGATTGGTCATAGATTCAAACACCCCTTTAGCCGATTCAATATCATCCAGTTACATGTTCAAAATAGAACCACCCACATAGCAATTATGTTCAATCCCAACTTTCAAAGCAAAACAATGAACACTCATGCCAAATTCATATGCTTTGGTATGGTACTAGCACACTCTGCATACCCCTTGAGAACACTGACAATAGTGAATTCATTCGGCCTCAACCCACTTCTTATTAATCCCAAATAAATTTCCAATCCCCATTCAAATTGACCATCTTGGACAGCAGCCGAGATCATCAAAGTCCAAGTGACGAGGTTTCTGTCAGGCATTTCATCAAACACTCTAAACCCATCACCCACAAGCCCACATTTTGAGAACATGCTGATCAAATTATTCAATAAAAAAAATGTAATAAAATCCGTCATAAAATGTAAAACCCACTACCAGGGTGATGATTTTGGCGTGTCATCCACAAAGTCAAAGAGAAAGTGTCATTATCTCTCTGGGACTCTTTTTATTTTGCTGTATTGTTTCTTCAATATTTAACTACTTGGTTTAAGTCCTTACTTGCTCCACTGATGGGGTAAAACACTTTAGCTGATGTGGTGAGACCTGAGGTAGGGGTGGGACTGGTGGTGTACTCTGTGCCGCTATATGGTGTTTGATTTCGAGAAGATCTTATAACTGAGTAGATGTAGAATCGGATGCGACCATAATGTAGGAGATCTCGCTTACTTGTAAGAGGTGTTAGACGGGTGATTACCGTATCATCCAAGACTTTCTCGTTTTAACTTCAGGGAGAAAATTAATAAGGGCTCTAATAATATTGTATACAGTTCGTTAAAACGACACGAATTCGCACAAAAAATTCAATGTTCGGGTCTGAGTTATCGTGTCGTGTTGATATCGTGTTGACCCATTAGCTATAGTGTCGTGTCGTGTCTTGTCGTGTCAATTCGCGAATACTTATTAGCTATCGTGTTGTGTCGTGTCAACCCGTTAAGTTCAAGGTCATTTGTGTAAATTTATCTCTTTCTTTTTTTTTATTCTCTTTCTTCTCTTTCTTCTCTTTATTCTCTTTCGTCTTTTCCTCCTCCATTCCCCTGATTTTTTAGCTTCTCTCTTTCTGCTTCACTTTCTTCTTCTCTCTCGTCTTTTCCTCCACCATAATTATGAAGCAGCAAATCGTTATCAATCAAGAGCATCAATTTATGAGGAATAAGAGGAACATACTCGGGAGGTTTCAAACCCAAGCTCCCAAAGAAAGGTTCAAACTTATTAATAGGGTGGTAGTGCAGATATCCCTTTTCCATCTCTCTCTAGCTCACTCTCATCCTCTTACAGATCCAAACACTATGATTGTTTGAAATTTTTTTTTTTTTGAACTGGTTGATTTTTTAATTGTTTAAAATTTCTGTTTTTATTTTTTTATTTTTTTTATTTTTTTTTAATTGTTATAACAAGTCGTGGTTTGACATTTCCAACCTATTTTCTTATAGTGTCGTATTAACCCTTTAAGAAAAGCGAGTTGACATGAACACGACACGAACACTGCAAACACGACACTAATGACACGTCTAGTAGTAATGGTTGGGCTTGATATATTGGGATGGGAAGTTCAAATCTCACCAACATCCCACAATTCTTTTTTGAAAAAACAAATACCAAAAGTAAAAACGAGAAGGAGTATAAAGCGGCTTCAACCTTTGTGACTTTGTGTGACTGTGCATGTACTATGTTGGCAATATGATAATCTTGCTGTTGACTTACTTCCTTAGTAGCTAAGCGCTCTTCAGTCGTTGGCTCGTTAAAACTCAACAAGGCAGGTGATTCTGGTGAGTGCTTTTTTCTTCTTTTTTTGCTTTTTCTGTGTTTCTTTTTCCTTGTTGGTTTCTCAGTTCTTCAGTTCTTCTGTTCTTGGATGGATCATATCCATCTTTGTATGTAACATTTTGGTAAACTTCCTCTCTTCGATTCATTTGCTTGTAACATTGCAACTCAACTGTATATTTTGCATCTTCGAATTATTATTTGTTTATGTCTAAATTAAAATCATCTGCTTCAATCTGCATATTTTTCACCATAAATCTTAACTAAGCTTACGTTTTTGGTAGATTTGAATGATATTTTAGACCTTAGAATAGGTCTAATAACTCTCAAATGGTTGTATTGACTTGTGTGTTTTGATCACAGACTGGAGGGCCAGCATGTCAATTTTTCTTGAAGTCTTGAAATGCCTTCTTTGTTGTGAAGATGAGCATGAGAATTATCATGGTTCTTACAATCAAATTCCCAGACAAACCAGTTTCCATAATAATGATTATGAATATCAAACTCCCCATAGAAATTACTCGCCACCCCCGACTTCTACTAATCAATCTCCAGCCTTCTATAACTATAAACCCCCATCACCTCCATCTCAAGCACCTAAATCTCCTTTTAGTTCTTCTTCATCATCCCCTAAGCCTCCAACATCGTCATCAAAACCGCGGCAATCATCTTCTCCATCTCCTAATTTCCCAACATCTTTATCTAAAACACAACCATCTTCTTCTTTCAATACATATTCAACATTCCCTGAGCCCCCATCATCTTCATCTAAGCTGCCTCAATCAACTTTTGTTAATGCATCTTCATCTAAACCACTACAATCCTCTGTCAATGCATCTTCATTTACTCTTGAATTCCTAGCATTTGCATCTAAATTACAAGTATCTTCTTCTGTTGATCAGCCTTCAGCATTACTTAAACCCCCAACATCTTCATCTAAGCTGCCCCAATCCACTCTTATTAGTCCATCTTCACCATCCCTTCAACTCCAAATACCTTCATCTAGATCATCTCCTCCTAAACTCTCTACATCCTCCTCTAAACCACCTCAGGCTTCATCAAAATCACATTCCTCATCACCAAAACCTCCAACATCTTCAAAACCATCTCCATCCTCAGGACCGCCCGTGTCTTCCTCTAAGCTCCCTCCAATCTTCAAGCAAGTTCTATCCCCCGCCTGCCCGAGTGTAATAAATCAAAAGGTGAAGACAAATTATGTGTGGGTCGAAAAGGATCCATTACCTATATTTGCGATTCCAGAGGATATAAAAGATTTGATCAAGAATGACATTGTGCCTAATGTTCTAAACCAGCCCCTGTCTCCCACAACATATAAGGATTACTTTGCCGCTCTGTTATATGCTGAAGAGTTCTATCATGAGGTATGCAAGAATCTTGCCCATTTGTAATGCATTTTCTTCAGTAGTTAGTTAAGAAAATTATGACAGATATCAAACCATTTATATAAATATGTTTGTAAAGCACTTCTCCAAGTTTCAGTTTTTGGAAGATATGACGATAATATCTGAATTTGATTGGTTTAAACATTGATTATACAGCACAGTTTTGAATGGTTAGCCAAACATAGCTTATTTCATATTAGTAATCACTTTTCTTTACACAAAGATTCTGTTAATTATACTTGATACTTCTTTGTATGCATTGAAACCAATGCACACTAAAACTGGCTATTGTTTTGAAATCATGGAGTTTCATGTACATGCCTTTGCAACTAAATATTGTGGTATGAATGATGGAATGTAGAATGTTGTGGTAGAACATTCTTCTTTTCTCAATTTTGTATGATTTTTCTTGCTGACTTTGAAAGAAATATAATTAAAATAAACTGTGGTTGTTATTTGAAACCAGAAATGGGCAGATTTCAATATGAAGAATGTGACACTGAAGTTGCATGAAGCAGCAGTTTATAAAAATCTGGAGAAGGAAGAGAAAACCTTCATAGAATTTGAGATTGATTCTGTTCCTGAAAATAGGCCATTCCTTTTGTCAAGGGACTTAGTCTATGTACGACCATTGGGTACGAATGTTGACCAGTTTCAGGTAAACTCTGAACATCCATTGACATATGCTGAGCAATTTCTTAAAACTATCTGCATTATAATTATCTTATTGCATGTTATGCAGGGCATTATATACCGCATTATTAGGAGCCATCTTGTATTAGTGGAATTTGAAGATGAATTTTATGCTCATCATGATTCAGCCCAAAAATATGATGTGAGCTTCTCATTCAATAGAGTCTGTTTGAAAAGAGCTCACCAAGCAGTTCAAACTGCATCAGATGCTTTATTTAAGAACTTCCTCTTTCCCGATTGTGTTTCTCGTAGGAGCATCCCCACTGCACCAGCGCTGCTTTCTACCCATCCGGATAAGTTATCTGCAGTTCATCGTATTTTAAGCATTCGGGGCTCACCACCTTACCTAGTAGCTGGTTCGACAACTCGAGAGGTTGTTAGTGAAGCAGTACGCCAGTTATGTCAAACATCACCAGAAAATAAGGTTCTTATATGTGCTCCTAGTAACCGCTGTTGTGATGGGATTATGAGAAGCTTGTTGAAAGTGATTCCAGAGTCAGATATGTTTCGAGCCAATGCTGCATTTCGCGAGAAAGATGAGGTGCCTGATGACATCCTCCCATCATGCCTTTACAAAGAGACTTATTTCTCTTGTCCTCCAACAGAGGAACTCCAAGAATTCAGGGTGATTTTCTCGACTTACATGAGTAGCTTTCGGCTGCATGATAAAGGCCTAACTGCTGGACATTTTAGTCATATTTTTCTGGTGGATGCTTCATCTGCCATTGAGCCGGAAACAGCAGTGGCCTTAACTAATTTTGCAGAAAAAAGTACTACTGTTATAGTCACTGGTCAACCAGGAGATCGTTCACGTTGGGTTCGCGCAGACATGGCAAGGGAAAGGGGGCTGAAGATTTCATACTTCGAGAGACTTTTCAAGTCAAGGCCATATAGAAGCCTCAATCCAATGCTTATCACACATTTGGACCAGTAGCACGAGCCAGAATCAGCAACACCTACAGGCTTTTGCATTAAGCTTAAAACCCTTTGCATAATTGCACGAAACATTTGACTGTTTGCTGTTTAAATTTCTTGGTTCATAAGCCACAACCTAAGATATTAGGGTGACTGTTTTGTTGTAAGTAGCATTCTGCAGAGTGTGGTGATTGCTTTTAATTGTAACTGTTTTCTTGTCAAATTATTAATCACCCTCCTCGGTTCCCTTACCTCATCATCCTGCATTTTCAGATCCTCTATCTATCTCAATCAATTTTGTTTCTTAACTTGCTGATGGAAAAATCACTGTAAGTGAATTATAAGCCAAAGTTTTTTCTCAAACCAAAAACAAAAAACAAATCCTTCAGCGTGATATTTTTCCATGCCATCCACAGTTTTTTCTGAAGTCTTCTTCCTGTTAAACTTCGCTAAACAAAAAGGACTAAAGAAGATTCAACCTTTGTGACTCTGTGACTCTGTCTGACTGTGCATGTACTATGTTGGTAGACAACCCATCACCTGTTCACGCTTGAAAACCAGTACTTCAAAAAAAAACCATCTACTCCCATGGTGTAGGAGACAACTGCCTCGACGTTGCTGGCAAGATTCTCCCAGCTTCATCTGATATGCTTTTCTTTCCACAGGCAACCTGCATGCATGTTAAATTCACAATTTCCTTATTCAAACACTTAACTAACTGAAGAATCACAAAAGTGATAATAATCCCAAAGATTGAATCCGTGTAGCCCATCCATCAGCTAAGCCGTTTGGCCTTAGAAGTAGGTGGTTACCTAAGTCCCCGTTTGATAACCATTTCAATTTTAGTTTTTAGTTTTCATGTTTTGTGCTAGAGTATAGAGGGAAAAGAGGGAGAACGGAAGTGAGAATGAAAGTGAAGAAGGGATTGAGAGGAAATATGAGGGGGAGAGTTGTTACCACACATATGGGAGAATATAAACTAGAGGCATGTCATCAATTGAGGTCAATTTATTGCTGAGTAGATGTAGAATCGGATGAGAGTAAAATGTAGGAGATCTCGCTTACTTCAGGGAGAAACTTAATAAGGGCTTATAATGCGACTCCTCTCATTGTCAATTAGTTTTTGAGTGAAACCTCAACTTTATTCATAGTAGAAATGGTTGGGCTTGCTAATTGAGATGGGAAGTTCAAATCTCACCAACATCCCACAATTCTTTTTTGAAAAAACAAATACCAAAAGGAAAAACGAGAAGGAGTATAAAGCAGCTTCAACCTTTGTGACTTTGTGTGACTGTGCATGTACTATGTTGGCAATATAGTAATCTTGCTGTTGACTTACTTCCTTAGTAGCTAAGCGCTCTTCAGTCGTTGGCTCGTTAAAACTCAACAAGGCAGGTGATTCTGGTGAGTGCTTTTTTCTTCTTTTTTTGCTTTTTCTGTGTTTCTTTTTCCTTGTTGGTTTCAATTTTAGTTTTTAGTTTTCATGTTTTGTGCTAGAGTATAGAGGGAAAAGAGGGAGAACGGAAGTGAGAATGAAAGTGAAGATGGGATTGAGAGGAAATATGAGAGGGGAGAGTTGTTACCACACATATGGGAGAATATAAACTAGAGGCATGTCATCAATTGAGGTCAATTTATTGCAAGGCTTTAGAAAACATTCTTATTTGATTATGATAAGAATTCCTCTTTGGGTTAAATTATGATAAATAAAAAATCAAAAATAGTTTGCAATCCTCATAATTTGTTAAACATGTTATTAACAGGTAATTTGTTTAATAATATGTTTCACACGACCTGGAACCGGCACGTTACATTTATTAAATGGGTTAGGTTTGGATTGAGCATCTTTGACACGTTTATTATTCCGATATAATACGAACCCAACATAACACGACCCATTGCCAAAGTGAAAACAAAAACTTAAAAACAGCGGGGTTTTCAATTGTAAACAACAAAGTCTGAGAATGTGGCTAATATGTCTGTCCTTGACTTGTTTTAAAATGTTAAATAGTTTGTTTAATTTTTAATTACTTAGTTTAACGCCCTTCTTTATCGGTTGATCCTTATCTAGGTGGGCCCTTTTTGCTGATTTGGCAAGGCCTGGTTTGTGGTGGGACCGGATGAATGGAATGACTTCAACTGGAGAGCCGCGTTCTGATTACGGTAGAATCTTCAAATTTGGAGTCTTTTTAACAAGCTCAGGTCCAAAACCAACAAGACACTCTTTCTCAGGTGCTGAGTGCGGTGCATTCGGTAAACTTGCTCTTTCTCAATCCATTTTGCATATGACATTATCCCATTACATCACAACTATTTATTTTCAATCTTTGAATTCATATTTTCATTTATGTCTAATTATTCCTCTGCTCGGTTTGAACTTGTTGCTCTGCATGTTTGGTAGATTTGAATGAGTCTCATACTTCAGACCCTGCAATGGGAGTAGTCATAGTTCTCAATGGTCGTTTGGTTTCTTTGTTTTGTTCACAGAAAGAGGAAAATCATGTCATTTTTTCACGAACTCTTGAAATGGCTTCCCTTCCAACCCGAATTACAAGATCGTGATACTTGCCACAGAAACAGCTTGCCACATTCATCTGAACCCCCATCAACTCCATCTAAACCAGTCCTGTCTCCCTCTAATCCACCTTCATCTTCCCCTACACCTCCTACATTGGGTAGACAACCGCAATCTTCTTCACTCCATACATCTTCGTCATCTCCTAAATTCGCAACATCTTCATCTAAGCTAACCCCATCACTTTTGTTAGTCCATCTTCATCAACCCTTCAACCCCCATCACCTTCATCGACATCATCTCCGTTTTTCTCCTCAACTATCTACTTGCTCGTCTAAGCCACTTCAGGCCTCATTGTCTCCGGCTTCATCTAAGCCACATTCATTATCCACAAAACCCCCAACATTTTCTTCAAAACCATCTCCATCTTCTTCAAATCAGCAATCTTCTTCTATCAATACATCTTCTCCATCTCCTAAATTCCCAACATCTTTATCTAAAACTCAACCATCTTCTTCATCTAAGCTGCCTCAATCAACATTCCCTGAGCCCCCATCATCTTCATCTAAGCTGCCTCAATCAACTTTTGTTAATCCATCTTCATCTAAACTGTCTACATCCTCCTCTAAACCACCTCAGGCTTCATCAAAATCACATTCATCATCACCAAATCCTCCACTATCTCCAAAACCATCTCCATCCTCGGGACTGCCTGCGACTTCCACTGAGTTCCCTCCAATCTTTAAGCAAGTTCTATCCCCAGCCTCCTCAAATGTAATAAATGAAAAGGGGGAGAAAAATTATGTATGTGTTGATATTGTGCCTATATTCACGATTCCTGACGATATCAAAGATTTGATCAAGAATGAGATTGTGCCTAAAGTTCTTAAACAGCCTCTGTCTCCCACGACATATAAGGATTACTTTGCTGCTCTGTTATATGCTGAAGAGTTCTACCATGAGGTATGCAAGAATCTTGCCCATTTGTAATGCCTTTTCTTCTTAAGTAGTTAAGAAAATATGACATAGATCAAACCAGTTATATGAATATGTGTGTAAAGCACTTCTCTAAGTTTCAATTTTCGGAAGATTTGACAATAATATCTGATTTCAATATTGATTATATAGCACAGTTTTTAATGGTTTGCAAAACATAGCTTATTTCGTATTAGTAATCACTTTTCTATACACAAAGATTCTGTTTAACATAGCTGATTTCAATATTGATTATATAGCACAGTTTTTAATGGTTTGCAAAACATAGCTTATTTCGTATTAGTAATCACTTTTCTATACACAAAGATTCTGTTTATATATTTGATACTTCTTTGTTTGCATCAGTGACTGGCTATTGTTTTGAAATGATTGAGTTTCATGTACATGCCTTTGCATTGTGCATTGTGCATTTCAGTATCTTAAGAGCTGTCGTATGATGAATGATGGAATGTTGAATGCTGTGGTACAACAACATTCTTTTCTAAATTTTGTATGATTTTTCATGCCGACTTTGGAAGAAATTTAAAAAAAACCTTTGCTGTTATTTAAACCAGAAATGGGCTTGTTTCAATATGAAGAATGAGACACTGAAGTTGCATGAAGCAGCAGTTCATAAACATAAAGACAAGGAAGAGAAAACCTTCGTAGAATTTGAGATTGATTCTGTTCCTGAAAATCGGCCATTCCTTTTGTCGAGGGACTTAGTCTATGTACGGCCATCAGGTACAAATGCTGAGCAGTTTCAGGTAAACTCTGAACATTCATTAACATTTGCTGAGCAATTTGTTAAAACTATCTGCATTATAATTATCTTATTACATGTTATGCAGGGCATTATACATCGCATTATTAGGAGCAATCTTGTATTAGTGGAATTTGAAGATGAATTTTATGATTATCATTATTCGACCCAAAAATATGATGTCAGCTTCTCATTCAATAGAGTACGTTTGAAAAGAGCTCACCAAGCAGTTCAAACAGCATCGGATACTTTGTTTAAGAACTTCCTCTTTCCCGATTGTGTTTCCCGTACGAGCATTCCCACTGCACCAGCACCGCTGTCTGGCAGTCACAAACTTGACGCCAAACAATTATCTGCTGTTCGTCATATTTTAAGCATTCAGGGCTCACCACCTTACTTGGTGGCTGGCCAGCTTTGTGTTGAAAGGAACGTTTTTAGGCCGTCGAGAACTGGAGCGGTTGTTTGTGAAGCAGTGCACCAGTTATGTCAAACCTCACTCAAAAATAGGATTCTGATATGTGCTCCTAGTAACCGCTGTTGTGATGGGATTATGAGAGGCTTGTTGAAAGTGATTCCAGAGTCAGATATGTTTCGAGCCAACGCTGCATTCCGTGGGAAAAATGAGGTGCCTGATGACATCCTCCCATCATGCCTTTACGAAGACCCTTATTTCTCTTGTCCTCCAACTGAGAAGCTCAAAAAATTCAGGGTGATTTTCTCGACTCTCGTGAGTAGCTTTCGGCTACATGATAAAGGCCTAACTTCTGGACATTTTAGTCATATTTTTCTGGTGGATGCTTCATCTGCCATTGAGCCGGAAACAGCAGTGGCCTTAACTAATTTTGCAGAAAAAAGTACTACTGTTATAGTCACTGGTCAACCAGGAGATAATTCACGTTGGGTTCGAGCAGACATGGCAAGGCAAAAGGGACTGAAGATTTCATACTTCGAGAGACTTTTCAAGTCAAGGCNNNGTGTGGAGCCATCTACATAGCCAAGTAGATCATTGCAAAGGAGCAGAGGCATAAACTGGTCACGCCACAGGAGATAGTTCTCTGAATCTAGTTTTACAGAAATATGATTTGATATGTTTGTGATGGGAAAAGAAAGAGTAGAAGAAGTGGACGCCATATGAAAAGAGGATTAATAGATTGAATATTGGAGAAGAAGAAGAGGAAGGTATTGGAAGATGAAGAAAAGAAATATTATTGCTCCAGGTGAAGCTCTGATACCATGAAGAAGAATGGAGATGAAAACTTTAATGATGTTGTATTCACAATAACCAATATTTATACAAAAGTGTTGTGCACATAAGTCAAGTCAAGCACGTGAGTGATGGCTCACATATTCCTAACATATCCCCTAAATCTATGCATTAAAATATGGGATGTCCCACAATATGGAATGTTCCCCAATATGGGATGTTCCCCCTGGAATAAAGGGATGTGTATTGCTTTGTCTCTAATAAATTTAAACCAGAAATGGGCTTGTTTCAATACGAAGAATGTGACACTGAAGTTGCATGAAGCAGCAGTTCATAAACATAAAGACAAGGAAGAGAAAACCTTCGTAGAATTTGAGATTGATTCTGTTCCTGAAAATCGGCCATTCCTTTTGTCGAGGGACTTAGTCTATGTACGGCCATCAGGTACAAATGCTGAGCAGTTTCAGGTAAACTCTGAACATTCATTAACATTTGCTGAGCAATTTCTTAAAACTATCCGCATTATAATTATCTTATTGCATGTTATGCAGGGCATTATAAATCGCATTATTAGGAGCAATCTTGTATTAGTGGAATTTGAAGATGAATTTTATGATTATCATTATTCGACCCAAAAATATGATGTCAGCTTCTCATTCAATAGAGTATGTTTGAAAAGAGCTCACCAAGCAGTTCAAACAGCATCGGATACTTTGTTTAAGAACTTCCTCTTTCCCGATTGTGTTTCCCGTACGAGCATTCCCACTGCACCAGCACCGCTGTCTGGCAGTCACAAACTTGACGCCAAACAATTATCTGCTGTTCGTCATATTTTAAGCATTCAGGGCTCACCACCTTACTTGGTGGCTGGCCAGCTTTGTGTTGAAAGGAACGTTTTTAGGCCGTCGAGAACTGGAGCGGTTGTTTGTGAAGCAGTGCACCAGTTATGTCAAACCTCACTCAAAAATAGGATTCTGATATGTGCTCCTAGTAACTGCTGTTGTGATGGGATTATGGGAAGCTTGTTGAAAGTGATTCCAGAGTCCGATATGTTTCGAGCCAACGCTGCATTCCGTGGGAAAAATGAGGTGCCTGATGACATCCTCCCATCATGCCTTTACGAAGACCCTTATTTCTCTTGTCCTCCAACTGAGAAGCTCAAAAAATTCAGGGTGATTTTCTCGACTCTCGTGAGTAGCTTTCGGCTACATGATAAAGGCCTAACTTCTGGACATTTTAGTCATATTTTTCTGGTGGATGCTTCATCTGCCATTGAGCCAGAAACAGCAGTGGCCTTAACTAATTTTGCAGAAAAAAGTACTACTGTTATAGTCACTGGTCAACCAGGAGATAATTCACGTTGGGTTCGCGCAGACATGGCAAGGCAAAAGGGACTGAAGATTTCATACTTCGAGAGACTTTTCAAGTCAAGGCCATATAGAAGCCTCAATCCAGTGCTTATCACACAATTGGACCAGTAGCAAGAGGAGCCACACTCAGCAACACCTACAGGTGCTTTGGAATGTATACATTATGTCATACTTGTGTGCGTCTTGATGTTCTGCAGATGATTTCCCATGCATTAACCTTACAACCATATATATTCTAAGATGTCATGGTTTTTTATTGCAAAAACACTGTAAATAATGCAAAGCAATTCTCAGTAACCGGATTGTTACCCAAAGTTCCTTCTTTCTCTTTTCTTAAAGTCAATATCTGGATTGACAGCAATTCTCCAGCCTCAGTTATTTTGGGGAAGAAAGTTTTCAAGCTGAAGGGCCATAAATAAACATTTCTGCAGATCAAGATTATGTTTCAAATATATATACAGAAAACATAAAAACAATTCACATAAATAAACATTTCTGCAAATTAAGGTCATTTTCCACTTAGCTGGACCAGTTGACAACTAGGTCCATATAGAAGCCTGAATCCAATGCTTATCACACAATTGGACTTGTAGCAAGAGCCACACTCAGCAACACCTACAGGGTTTCGGATTAAGTTTAAAACTCTTTGCATAATTGCATGAACCATTTGACTGTTTGCTTTTTAAATTTCTAAAAGTCACTATCTGGGTTGATATCTTTAGCAGCAACTCTCCAGCCTCCAGTTTGATCTTTCCAAAGTGCAGAATTTTATGCTAGGGATCCATTTGGAACTTTTTCTTATAAGTAGCCTCTGAAGGAAGTGATGTGTTGGCCCTTTAAGAACTCTCAAAAGTTTGCTTCTTCCCTTTTGTGGCCAGCACTATGAACTATGCTTGAACCATATATAATATATTTAAATAGTATAGCCGAACGGCTATACTACGGTATTTCTTTTTTTACACGTGGGTGCCTTTTTACTAAATAGTCTAGCCGCGCGGCTATACACGGGTTTTTTTTTTTTAAAAAAAAATTGTATAGCCGCGCGGCTTTACTACCGTAATTGTTTTTTTAATGTAGTATAGTCGAGCGGCTATACTTGTTTTGACACGTGGGCACCTAAGCGCTAGGCAAGTCTTTTTTTAGACTATACATAGTATAGCCGAGCGGCTATACTCTCGCTCCCGTCCGGCTAGGCTGATTATTTTTTAAAAACCGTATAGCCGCACGGCTATACCTGTTTTCACACGTGCCAACCTAATCGCTAGGCGGGTTTTTTTTATTATTTATAAATAGTATGGCCGCGTGGCTATACGCGAGTATTTGTTTTTTTCAAAACAGTATAGCCGATCGGCTTTACTCGGGTTTTTTTAATTATAATTTTTTAAATAAATGGTGTATATATATGGGGATCCTCTTTAAAAATGGTATAGCCGCGCGGCCATACACGGGTATTTTTTAGTTTAAACATAGTAAAGCCAAGCGGCTGTACCCGTTTTGACACGTGGTTACCTGAGCGCTAGGGGGGCCCTATTTTAACCGAATAGTATAGCCGAGCGGCCATACTGGAGTATTTTTTTAAAAACTTATAGCCGCGCGGCTATACGTGTTACACACGGGATCAAATTTTATCCTCGAGAGAACAGAGTACTCATGACTCATTCTTCCATTTCTTCTGACCAACTTATTATCGTCCCCTCTAAATAGAACAGAGTACACATGGGATCAAATTTGCATGAGAGAAATGAAATGGCCTGCAATCAAGAAACAAAACCGGAGTTCTTGGAACACCGTGTGAAGTTAGTCAAATAAGTTAGACTTGGAAGATTTCACAAGTACGAGTGCTTGGAGTGCAGTTGAAGAACTAAACACATCCTTGTAGTTGCTTCATCTCAGACTTTCAGACAAGCTCATTATAATTTCATCTCAGTTTGCAGGTTGAATCCAACTAAAAGTTAGCTGAAGAATGATGACTGCAGCTACCCAGAATAAAAACCCATAAGGGCAATCATGTAAATCAACTAAAGGGAAAGTCAAAACCCACTAATTAATTCTGAGTTTGACTACGGATGAAACTAAACAAGTACCTCATCGAAGATACCATATCATGGGCATGGACATTTAGTGGCAGCTCATGTTTTTCGTAGTGGTGGTAGGCTTAGCTGCGATATTGTTTGTCCTGAATGGCTATTTAATTGCCTAGCCCAAGATGTAAACTGTTCTATTCGTATTTAATCTATCTTCCTATTTTCGGTATTTTTAAAAAAAAAAATACCATTTCATGGGTATGGACATGAATAAGGTTCTATTTTTTAGAGTAGACGCGATTGGGGGAGGAGGGCGGGGTGTACACACAAACATTTCTAGATGTCTGGGGTTTTTGAACATCCGCCCACAAGATTTGAGGTCAAATAGCTCAATCAACTGAGCTATACTCTACTAGCATGAATAAGGTTCTTTTAGGAATGTTAGAGAGATCACATTATTGTACAACACTATATACCTTTTTTTTAAAAATACAAGTGATCACCTAAACTACAAGGGGGAGGGGGGTTTCTCACATACACACAATATCAATGTGTCATAAGGATTCGAACCTGAGACTCTTTTTCACTGGGCTATATCTCATTGGATGTACCATCTTTTTAATAGAGACAAGATCCGCGAATACAACTAGCTCCCATCTTATGACAACAACAACAAATTAAGTCTCATTGCAGGTGTTTTTTCATATTTTTTCTATCTAAAATAACAACGTATCTTTTTTAATACAAGCGATAATCTAAATTATAAATAAAGGAGATTTCTCACACACACAATACCAAGATATCATGAAAATTTGAAGATGAGACCATTAAACTAGACCCATTGGGTCAGGTTAAGTACTTGTAAACAAAAAAGTCGGTGAATGTACTATTTCTGTCTCTCTGGCACTACTTTTAAAATGTCAAATTGTTTGTTTAAATTTTTTTAATTGCTTGGTTTAATACCCTCCTTGATCCTTATCTAGGTGGGTCCCTTTTGCTGATTTGGCAAGACCCGGGTAGGGGTGGGACTGGTGAGCGTGTACATTATTATGGAAGAATCTTCAGTCTTCGGACTTCTTAACTTTCCAAAACGAAAAGGAAAGCGACGTTCAGTCGTCGGCTGGTCAACACTCAGCAACAAGCTCAGCTGCTGCTGCGTTGCATTCGGTAAACTTTCTTCCTCTTCTCGATTCATTTGCATGTAACATTGCAACTCATAGAACAGATGATCTTTGTCTCCGGTCCCAACTTTTTATTTTGCATTTTTGAATTAATATTTTTATTTATTAATTAATCCTCTGCCTCGGTTTGCTCATTTCAAATATTAATCTCTGTTATAGAAATTGTTGAATGAGTCTCATACTTTAGACCCTGCAATGGGGTCTTCTCGTTCTCAAATGGTCGTTGGGTTTCTGTGTTTTGTTCACAGAAAGAAGAAAAGCATGTCGTTTTTTCGTAAACTCTTGAAATGGCTTCTTGGTGGTGAAGATGAGCATGAATGTTATTATGGTGAATATGTGCCTGAATTTTGTTATGATTGTTACAATCAGCTTCCCGAATTACACGATCGTGATTATCGTTACGATACTTCCCACAGATACCTCTTGCCACCCCCTAAACCCCCATCAATTCCATCTAAACCAGTCCTGTCTCCCTTTAATCCACCATCATCTTCCCCTAAACCTCCTACATTGTGTAGAAAACCGCAATCTTCTTCACTCAGATACATCTTCGTTGTCTCCTAAATTCGTAAAAGTACAACAATGGTCATGTGGTTATGCATTTTCAACATTCCTTAAGCCTCCAACATCTTCATCTAAGCTGCCCCCATCGCCTTTTGTTACTCCATCTTCATCATCCCTTCAACCCCCAACATCTTCATCCGCATCATCTCCGTTTTCTCCTCAACTATCTACTCACTCCTCTAAGCCACTTCAGGCTTCATTATTTAGGGCACGTCCTTCTTTATCTAAGCCACATCCATTATCCCCAAAACCTCCAACATCTTCTTCAAGACCATCTCCATCTTCCCCTAATAGAACTCCATTTTCCTCTGGACCACCCTTATCTTCAGCGAAGCTCCCTCCAGTCTTTAAGACATTTCTATCCCCCGCCTCCTCAAATGAAATAAATGAAAAGGGGAAGAAAAATTATGTATGGGTTGAAAAGGGTTCATTACCTATATTCACGATTCCTGGCGATATCAAAGATTTGATCAAGAATGACTTTGTGCCTAAAGTTCTTAACCAGCCTGTGTCTCCCACGACATATAAGGATTACTTTGCTGTTCTGTTATATGCTGAAGAGTTCTACTTTGAGGTATGCAAGAATATTTCTCTTTTGTAATGCCTTCTTGATGCAAGACGCGTAGGACCTAAATTTATTAGTTTCCTAATGTATTTGTTAATTTCCTAGATACTATAGTTTTCCAAATTCTAGTAGGATTTCTACTTTTCCAGATTTCCAGATTTCTAGTTTTAAGTTTCCTATTTTATTTGGGTCATGATTTCTGTTTAAGCAAGGGATTTTTATCCTATTATGTCTAGGTTTTAGTTTGCTATAAATACCCCCACGCAGTTCTTTAAAATGCAGATTTGGATATTGAGTAAACCTTCTCTTAAAACTATGTAATTTCTGTCCCTTCGATCTATATTTTCGTCTCCTCAACCTCCGATATTCTTCTTGTTCTACTGTTCTGCCATTTCTTTCGTCTTTTCGATTTATATTTTCGTCTCCTCAATCTCTTATATTCTTCAATGTTCTATTGTTTGAGTGCTTAATCTAATACCTACAGGCTGTTCTACATCAATTGGTAATCAGAGCCTGCCCTCACTTTTGCTTGCGTCTGCTCTCTGCCATGGCATCTCAAACCGTGGCCAGCCTTGCGGAACAATGTCATGCGTTCCAAGACAAAGTTTCTGCCGATATCGCCGGCATTGAAACTCAACTCTCCAAGCTCAGCGCTGAACACAAAGAAGAGTTGGTACAGGCTCACAAACATCGTGTGCCGACGGACCTTGCCATCAACAAACTCCAAGACTCCGTTCAGATGCTTATCAATCACCTCCGACTTGGAATGACTAAGCCTTTTTCTACCTCAGCAGTGCTCTTGAGTTCGTCTACGCCGCCGCCAAAAGGTGGCCTTCTTCCCAATCCACCGATGTATCAAAAACTCACGCCTTGCCACAATGTATTCCAAATCAGTCAACGGGACTATCGATTGGCATCCCCAAGGCTCAACTGGAGCCCATCTTTTCTTTTGGTTCTATGATGCAGCCCAACCATACCCAACATACGTACAACACTATATACCTTTTTTTTTAAAATACAAGCGATCGCCTAAACTACAAGGGGGAGGGGGGTTTCTCACATACATACAATATCAATGTGTCATAAGGGTTCGAACCTGAGACTCTTTTTCACTGGGCTATATCTCATTGGATGTACCATCTTTTTAATAGAGACAAGATCCGCGAAGCCAGGTGTTTTCAAGGCACTCTGGCAATGACTTACGAACACAAAGAATTGAGGGTCTATCACACCCACGCACGCGCTTGCATTCGTTGGCTCATCATGTACATCATGGGTCTAGGCCGAGCTCTCTATTTGCCATTCTTACAAGGACTAATGTTCCGTGCTTGTGAAACAGCTGGTTTCAAGGTGGCAAATATGATACTGGTCTTGAAGAACTACAGAACGCCACATGCCTCTACACACTTCCTTGTGATTTTGATTTTGTTGTTGTTTACTCGTCATAGTCGAGTTCTTTTCGACAGAGGAGAATGATGCAGGACGCGAAGGACCTAAATTTATTAGTTTCCTAATGTATTTGTTAGTTTCCTACTAGAATTTAGAAAACTAGAGTATCTAGGAAACTAATAAATTTAGGTCCTACACATCCTGCATCATTCTCCTCCGCCGAAAAGAACTCAACTCCGACGAGTAAACAGCGACAAAATCAAAATCCCAAGGAAGTGTGAAGAGCCATGTGGCGATTTGTAACTCTTCAAGATCAGCATCATATTTGCCACCTCGAAACCAGCCGTTCCGCAAGCACGGAACATTAGTCCTTATAAGAATGGCAAATAGAGAGCTCTACCTAGACCCATGATCGGCCAACAAATGCAAGCACGTGTGTGGGTGTGATAGACCCTCAATCCTTTGTGTTCGTAAGTCGTCGCTAGAGTGCCTTGGTTCAGGAAAAACACCTGGCTTGGCATGTCGGGCTATCTCAAAATCCAAGTGTCGGTGCATGAAGTTCTTGTCGTGTGGTGGGGTAGTGACGGGAATGTTGTCGTCAACCAAAGGAGAACCCATCGTATGTTGGGTATGGTTGGGCTGCGGCATAGAACCAAAAGAAAAGATGGGCTCCAGTTGAGCCTTGGGCGCCGAAAAGAACTCAACTCCGACGAGTAAACAGCGACAAAATCAAAATCCCAAGGAAGTGTGAAGAGCCATGTGGCGATTTGTAGCTCTTCAAGATCAGCATCATATTTGCCACCTCGAAACCAGCCGTTCCGCAAGCACGGAACATTAGTCCTTGTAAGAATGGCAAATAGAGAGCTCTACCTAGACCCATGATCGGCCAACAAATGCAAGCACGTGTGTGGGTGTGATAGACCCTCAATCCTTTGTGTTCGTAAGTCGTCGCTAGAGTGCCTTGGTTCAGGAAAAACACCTGGCTTGGCATGTCGGGCTATCTCAAAATCCAAGTGTCGGTGCATGAAGTTCTTGTTGTGTGGTGGGGTAGTGACGGGAATGTTGTCGTCAACCAAAGGAGAACCCATCGTATGTTGGGTATGGTTGGGCTGCGGCATAGAACCAAAAGAAAAGATGGGCTCCAGTTGAGCCTTGGGCATGCCAATTGATAGTCCTGTTGACTGATTCGGAATACCTTGTGGCATGGCCTTGAGTTTTTGATCCATCGGTGGATTGGGAAGAAGGCCACCTTTTGGCGGCGGCATAGACGAACTCGAGAGCACCACTGAGGTAGAAGAAGGATCAGTCGTTCCAAGCCGAAAGTGATTGATAAGCATCTGAACAGAGCCTTGGAGTTTGTTGATGGCAAGGTCTGTCCTCGCACGATGTTTGTGAGCCTGTACCAACTCTTCTTTGTGTTCCGGCTTGGAGAGTTGGGTTTCAATGCCGGCAATATCAGCAGAAACTGTCTTGGAACGCATGACATTGTTCCGCGAGGCTGGCCACGGTTTGGGATGCCATGCCAGAGAGCAGACGCAAGCAAAAGTAAGGGCAGGCTCTGACTACCAATTGATGTAGAACAGCCCGTACGTATTAGATTAAGCACTTGAAGAATATAAGAGATCGAGGAGATGAAAATTTAGATCGAAAAGAAAGGGTAGAACAAGAAGAATATCGGAGGTCGAGGAGACGAAGGACAAAAGAAAGGGTAGAATATCGAAGGTCGAGGAGATGAAAATATAGAACGAAGGGACGAAAGAAAGGATCGAAATCAGAGAACCGAGGAAGGAAGGACAGAAATCACATAGTTTTAAGAGAAGGTTTACTCAATATCCAAATCTGCATTTTAAAGAACTACATGGGGGTATTTATAATAGGATAAAATCCCTTGCTTAAATAGAAATCATAACCCAAGTAAAATAGGAAACTTAAAACTAGAAATCTGGAGAAGTAGAAATCCTACTAGAATTTGGAAAACTACTAAATTACGCGTCCTGCATCACTTCTCCTGTTAAGTAGTTAGTTGACCGATATCGAACTATTTACATAAATAAGTTTGTAACGCACTTCTCTAAGTTTCAATTTTTGAAAGATACGAGGATATTATCTGCTAATGAAATCTTGCTTGTATGGTCTGTACTCTGGATTAGCTTAGCTCTGATGGTTCATCAACATTTAAACTACGTATCTCCAACCTTTACGCAAATTTACTGGAAGAAAAAGTGAAAAAGCAAAGTGATAACTATTAGCTTGAGATACACTGCTGCCCCTTTCTTAACAGCTTAAACTTTTAAGGTCTCGTGGTTGTCTAACATGGTATCCGAGCTCTGATTGCAGGTGGTCGTGAATCCGAAACACTCCATTCCCCCTCATTTCTACTTCTTTAATAGTTTGCAGGGTGGGGCAGCACTTTTTTGTTTTTCTCTGGCTGCACGAGAGGGAGGAGGGTGTTAGCTCGATATGCATTGTTAGCTAATTTCCTAATAGCTTTAGCTTTATATTTTGTTTAATCAGAATAGAAGTAGAGGTGTCCGAAAGATTCTTGCAAACGTCTCTTTTCCACATGGAGACAAGGACCCAAGCAACTTGGAAACTATTGCAACTGAATATTGATGACACAATATCAAAACAATTATCCAAAAAGACAAAATATTATTTGGAAATTTTGCACATATTAAATGTGGTAGATTTGGAGTTTAGATAACTTGCACCTGTTGGATATCCAATTGTTGCAAATCAAAATTGAAGACAGAATATTTTAGAATCTGTTTAAACAAAATACAGGCATAGTTTTAGTTGCAATCAGCTTTGTGCTTAAGAGCTTTTTCCCCTATGAGGGGTGGTCTGAATGATGGATTATAGAATGTTGTGATAGATGGAACAATTTTATCTCCTCAATCCTGCATGCTGGCTTTGAAGAAAAACTCATGTTGTTATTTTGAATCAGAAATGGCCTCATTTCGATTTGGAGACTGTGACATTGGCGTTGCATGAAGCAGCAATTCACAAAAACCCAGATAAGGAAGAGAAAACCTTTGTAGCTTTTGAGATGGATTCTTTTCCTGAGAATCGCCCATTCCTTTATCGAGGGACTTAGTCTATGGATGACCATCGGGTAAAAATGTTGTGCAGTTTCAGGTAAACTCTCAACATCCATCAACATATGCTTACATGTTAAAAGTATGAACATTATTATAATGATCTTACATGTTGTACAGTGCTTTATATATTGCGTTGTCAGGAGCAGTCTTGTACTAGTTGAATTTGAAGATGAATTTTATGTTCATCATGATTCGACTCGAAAATACGATGTCAGCTTCTCGTTCAATAGAGTCTGTTTGAAACGAGCTCACCAAGCGGTTCAATATGCATCAGATGCTTTGTTTCAGAACTTCCTCTTTCCCGATTGTGTTTCCCATACAAGCATTCCAACTGCACATGCACTGCTCTCTGCCTGTCATAAACTTGATGCTGATCAATTATCTGCAGTTTGCCATATTTTAAGCATTCAGGGCTCTCTCCACCTTACTTGGTGGCTGGCCAGCTATGTGTTGAAATAAACGCTTTTAGGCCATCCAAAACTGGAGTGGTTGTTTGTGTGCTGATCAATTATCTGCAGTTTGCCATATTTTTAAGCATTCAGGGCTCTCCACCTTACTTGGTGGCTGGCCAGCTATGTGTTGAAATAAACGCTTTTAGGCCATCCAAAACTGGAGTGGTTGTTTGTGAAGCAGTGCACCAGTTATGTCAAATGTCAACAGAAAATAGGATTCTTCTATTTGCTCATAATAATCACTGTTGTGATGTGCTCATGAGGAGCTTGTTGAAAGTGATTCCAGAGTCAGGTATGTTTCGAGCCAATGCTGCATTCCGTGAGATAGATGAGGTACCTGACGACATCCTCCCATAATGCCTTTACAAAGAGCCTTATTTCTCGTCCTCCAACTGAGGAGCTTAAAAAATTCAGGGTGATTTTCTCGACTTTCATGAGTAGCTTTTGGCTACATGACACAGGCCTAAATGCAGGACATTCCAGTCATATTTTTCTGGTGGATGCTTCGTCTGCTATCAAGCCAGAAACAGTGGTGGCCCTGACTAATTTTTCCGACAAGAATACTACTGTTATAATTACCGGTGAACAAGGAAACCATTCACATTGGGTTCGAGCTGACATTGCAAGGGAAAAGGGGCTGAAGATTTCATACTTTGAAAGACTTTTCAAGTCAATGCCATATAGAAGTCTCAGTCCAATGTTCATCACACAATTGGATCTGCATAGCAAGAGTCAGACAACTCCTAAAGGCTAAGTTAGTTTGCCATTTGCCATCAAATGTATAAATTTACATACTCTTGATGTTCTGCAGATGATTTCTCGTTTGGTAAAGCGTAAAACCATTTTATTAAATGCCATGGTTTTTGAACTATGCCATTGCTGTGGCTTCGTCCTTTTCAATACTATAATTGCAAGACCCATTAGACTGTTTGCTTTTAAAATTTCTTGGTTCTCTACAGATTGTTGTTACTTCCGACTGTTCTTCAACTTGGATAAATTTTGATTCCAGAGAATTCTTTCCAGAATATGGGGAGTGCAGTTGAAGAACCTGTTGCAACTTAGCAGACCCAACTTTAAGGAAAATCCTTGTCTCAACTAAACGTTTCTCTGCAGATCGAAGTTATGTTTCGATTCGAAACCACAAGCCTTGCTCCCCCAGCAAAGATAAGTAATAGTATTTTCTATTATTCAGTTAAACTCAAAAGCTGAAATCTGGTGAAATTTGAAACAAGCAAATTGCAAGTATCAAGCACTTCTGCCTTGCTACATCACACAGCATTAGGGTTTCAATATGATGGATCACTTTGATTTTATTGTCAGATGGAAGCATCGGTTCCGAAAATCTAATTGAACAGCACACCATGAAAACCAGTACTTCAACATGAACTTTGACTTCAATATATATTAACAAACATTAACAAAAACCATCTAACCCCATGTTGTAGGAGATAACTGCTTCAATTTTGCTAGCATAATTGCCCCGGCTTCATCCAACATGCTTTTTTCTTTTTACAGGCAACAAACCTGCATGTTAAAATCAAGAATTTTGTTATCAGAAGAGTATAGCAAAACAATAAAAAGAACAATCTTAAGTGTCACGAAAATTATTCAGCTCCGACGCTGAATGAACTACAGTTGCCACACACACCAAGCATCAGAAAACTGATTCAGTTTCCAGTTTAGTGTAGTGTGTGCTGCTCCCCAGATGGGAGTGGTATTGGTCATCCAACAGTTGGAAAGTGCAGCAAAAATGGAAAGTTGCTGCGAAGGGGGAGAAGTCGAACCCCTGTTCAAGTCCAGGAGAATACCATAGCCAAGAAAAATGTTATGCATAAGTCGAGAGAATTTGTAAAATGACCCATCACCAACCCCAGCAGGAATAGAATGCAAACTCAGCTCAACCCAATTCTAAGCCTTAAAATGTCATAATGGGATATGAAACGCAAATTAAGATCAATTGGGATTATTGACAAATAGAACGAGAATTGGAATAAATATTTTCTTAGAATTAAACTTCTGGGAAAGCCATTCCAATTACAACAGCAAAACCTCCAACTAAAACCCTAATTCTTCTTCTTCTTCTTCTTCTTCTTCTTCTTCATTCTCTCTCCTCCTCCTCCAACAAAACCCCCCAAATCCTAAAACAATTTGAACCCTAAAAAACCCTAATTTGAATACATTGCTTCAAATTCACAAATTTGCACAAACTCCTTATTCTGCTTCTTCCAGCCAGCCAAAGCTAGTTAAATTCTAACCTTAAAAATCAACTACAAGAAATTTAATCAAAATCAAAAGAACTTCAACTCCCTCACCTCTCCCCTAAAACACACAACAAAAAAAGCAAAACAGAGACATACACATATTTATATATACCAACAAAGCACACCACCACCAGCACGACCCAACCACCAGAAACCGACGGTCTATAATCCGAGTCTTCAACGCGGGTCGTCTTCTCTCCGACCCGAATTTCCGTGCCCGCCCGACAAAGAAGCCAACAAATTGAGATGTCCTGGAAGGTAATTTCCCACTCTGGCCGCTGAGGCCTCGCCCATCGGCTGTTGCTGTAAGAACAACGAATGCTGCTGCTGCTGATGCTGCGGGTGTTGCTGGTGGGAAACCGCCGACTGGGCCATCATCTCCGGCGGAGGTGTGGCGGCGAAGCTCCAAACCTGCCCGAAGTGCGGGGCCGAGAAGCCGCCAGGACCCCCCGCGGTGGGGCCAAGCATGGAGGCCATGGAGTGGCCGACGACGGAGACGGCTCCGTCGTTGGCGTGGTCGGAGGGGTCCTTGGCGTCGTGGCTGTGGTTGTGGTTGCCGTTGTCGTCGTCGTGGGCCCCGCGGACGCGCTTGCCGAGTATGAAGGGGGTGGGGCCGCCGAGGAGGTGAGGCTTGTGGTCGGATGAGGTGGTGGAAGAGGGGGCGGAGGAGGAGGGGGCACCGCCGCGGAGGGAGACGGAGACGGTGGAAAAGGAGGCGGGGGTGGTGCCGGTTCCGGTGGCGGCGATGATGGAGGGCTCGGCCTGGCGGAGGAGCCACTCGATGGTCTGGCCGTCTGACTTGTGGCCGAGCTCACGTGTGAGCTGGAACACACGTGCGGCACATATGATGGGCATGCGGATGCGGCGGCCTCGACCGTCGACCTTGCTGTGGCGGTCCTTCGAAGGCGGCTTCTTCACGGCCAAGACGCCGTTACTAGACGGCCTCTGCGACGCCTGCTGCTCCACCATCCCTCCTCCTCCGCCGCCGTTAGTGAGCTCGTTATTGGGCGCTTCGGAATTAGACATGGAAGAAATTGACGGTGTTTAGCTGGGTTTAGGGTACACACAGAGTGTGTACGTTTTGTTTGCCTTGGTGTGGAAATTGTAGAGAGAGAGAAGGAGAGAGAAGGGGCCTGTTTGGGTTATGGAGGTTTTTGGGGGGAGAGAGAGAGAGAGAGGGAGAGAGGTGAGGGGGCTGGGCTGAGGGAAACAGAGCTCTCTCTAATGATTGAGCTTCCAGACAGGAGCTGGTGGAGACAGAGGAGGGCACATGGGGTGGTGGCCCCCACTCCATACAAGCATTCTTCACCTTCACACTTCTTCCTCACTGTGTGAAACACGCGCAACCCCAAAACAAAACAAAACAATTTAAATATTGTTATTTAAACATATAATTTTGCCTTGTCAGTCAACAATTAGTCAAAATTGGATTTTTCAGCTGGTTAGTAAAATCATGAACCTTAAGCCTTGATATTCAAGCGAGGGTGTTGAACGGCGTCGTGTCTTGGTGGCGGGGGTTTATGAAACGGCGACGTGGAGGTTCTTCTCCTCGGCTTGGCTTGAGGACGGTGGGTGACTGGCTGTGGGGATGATGTTGTTTTTGTGTTCAAAGTCTCTGCTGCTGCTCTGATTTGCTGAGTACTTGCTACTTTAATTTTCCTGAGTTCATTTCAAATTTGCAAGTAATAAGGAAGACCATAGTATTAGTAGTAACAGTCATAAATCCCCTACAGCTAGCTCCATTTAATACTACCATATCCATATATTACTCATACTTACAACGTGGGCCCATAAAAATGAATGCACACAGAATTAATGCAAGAGGATTGTTTCCATCAAAATCTTTGTTCATTCCGTAAACGTGAGTTAGGCTAATTACTCAAAGGTAATGCATTCACTCTATTGTACTAAAGTTCGGACTCATCGTTGTCAAAAAATAAAATTAAAAAATAAAATTTTGAGAAGGAGAATTCATTCATAAAACCACGAATGTACAGAGAGTACCATGGTATAGTGGCTTCGTTAAAACCTTCATAGGACAAACTTCATAGGAGAAAAGAGTACCACACATGTCATGGACTAACAAAAGAGTCCAATTCAGGTCATTATGGATCATTACAATAAAAGAACAAGTCAAAAACGAAAACTAACACAAAGACCTCCGACGAGAACCGCAACTAGAGACCAACACAGCGGACCCACATGAGAGGACCGTAAAAACCCCAAATAGTAAACCCACAGGAGAGGACTGCAGAACATCCCAACTGTCAAAAGAAGCTTTTTATGAGCAAAATCATAGTCCTTTGACACTCACCCAAACTGTAAGGCATACCATAGCATAAACCAGGAGATAACACAGAGGAGGAATATAGAAACAACAGTAAAAAGACCTCTGAGAAGCACTCCACTTCAACTCAGAACTTGACAAAGAAAACCTCATATGACCAAGCATAGTTCTTCGGTCGGTGCAGAGTAGAGAAGAGCACCACATCCCAACAAATACCACCAGTGTCGCTGCTACCGCCGTCGTTTAAACAGAGACAAAACGTCAACTACTAGGTATCACAACTCTCCCAAGGACAAACACAATCTAGCGTCACTACTGTTGCCGCCACCAAGACAAAGACAACACCAATCACCTAGAACACTGCAAAAACAACCAAACAAAACAAAAAGAGAAACACACCTAGATCTAAATAGATCTAAACTATCTGGGGATGGGAATGAGAGGAGAAGAGGGGATAAGAGGAAGGGAAAAAATGGGAGAAAAAGAAGGGGAGATGAGGAAAGGAAGGGGAAGATGAGCGGAGGGGCGGAGGGGCAATGGCCACCTCCCCTCCTTAGCTTCCTTGCGGTTGGTTGTCAACAAGAAGAAAGGGCTCATAAAATAATAATTTATTTATTGATTCCATCAATTCTCATACGACCAAATACGTTACAAGTAAAAATACAACCAAACAAAAGTGTTATTGCAAAAACAAAAACAAAAAAACAAAAAAAAAAACCAATGAAATTGTCAGATTACATATGGTATGCTTGAAAAACTTTGAGTATATTTCTTTGAAAAATAAAAATAAATAAAATATATTGTGGATGCTATGGAAACTCAAGTCACAAATCGTCCTACATGTAGCTTAATATCACTTTAGGGAGAATGTGACATATATGCTGGCTGATGAGATACAAGCATACCATAGCCTTGCAATAAATCAAAGGAAAATGAGCCCCACCGCACATACTTTCTACTTCCTATTTCTAGTCCATTTTCTAACTAACCCCACCTACAAATCAATATATAATCAACCCTCCTTTTTTTCTTTTTCTTTTTTTCTTTAAAAAAAAAAAAATTCTATTGAGAAGTGCGATAACATATTAAACTGACACACATTATACGAATGTAACGACTCAAACTCAAGACCTTTCAATTTCTTCTTTTTTTCTTTTCCCCTTGACCTTTGAATTTTGTAGGAAAACTCTACGCCTTCTTTAAAAATGGCCCACCTTCTACACAATAGCAAATGCTTAATTAGTGCTCACCCTATTTTATTATATTCAAACTCTAAGAAATTCCAAGAATTTGGTTCCTAGATAGATTGACCAGTTTCCTTGATGAAAAGCCTGAATTTCATGGCATACTCTTTATTTTTATTTTTTTAAAATAAATTTAGAAGTAGGGATACATTGCATTGTGGAGGGGGCACTTTTCCTGGGATTCGAACGATTAACCAGGGAAAAGGGGGAGGGACCTCACCACTAAGATAAACCCCTCGATCATGGCACACTCACTTAGTTCCATTAGTCAGCCGACATTTTTAATGATTGGTTCAAATCTAAAAGCCTCAGGTGGATTTAGCTGCGGTTGGTTGTCAACAAGAAGAAAGGGCTCATAAAATAATAATTTATTTATTGATTCCATCAATTCTCATACGACCAAATACGTTACAAGTAAAAATACAACCAAACAAAAGTGTTATTGCAAAAACAAAAACAAAAAAACAAAAAAAAAAACCAATGAAATTGTCAGATTACATATGGTATGCTTGAAAAACTTTGAGTATATTTCTTTGAAAAATAAAAATAAATAAAATATATTGTGGATGCTATGGAAACTCAAGTCACAAATCGTCCTACATGTAGCTTAATATCACTTTAGGGAGAATGTGACATATATGCTGGCTGATGAGATACAAGCATACCATAGCCTTGCAATAAATCAAAGGAAAATGAGCCCCACCGCACATACTTTCTACTTCCTATTTCTAGTCCATTTTCTAACTAACCCCACCTACAAATCAATATATAATCAACCCTCCTTTTTTTCTTTTTCTTTTTTTCTTTAAAAAAAAAAAAATTCTATTGAGAAGTGCGATAACATATTAAACTGACACACATTATACGAATGTAACGACTCAAACTCAAGACCTTTCAATTTCTTCTTTTTTTCTTTTCCCCTTGACCTTTGAATTTTGTAGGAAAACTCTACGCCTTCTTTAAAAATGGCCCACCTTCTACACAATAGCAAATGCTTAATTAGTGCTCACCCTATTTTATTATATTCAAACTCTAAGAAATTCCAAGAATTTGGTTCCTAGATAGATTGACCAGTTTCCTTGATGAAAAGCCTGAATTTCATGGCATACTCTTTATTTTTATTTTTTTAAAATAAATTTAGAAGTAGGGATACATTGCATTGTGGAGGGGGCACTTTTCCTGGGATTCGAACGATTAACCAGGGAAAAGGGGGAGGGACCTCACCACTAAGATAAACCCCTCGATCATGGCACACTCACTTAGTTCCATTAGTCAGCCGACATTTTTAATGATTGGTTCAAATCTAAAAGCCTCAGGTGGATTTAGCTTGTAAACAATCATTAATCAAGCTTCCTACCCTACTAACCCACATATATCAATAACAACCAACAAGTATATATGCTCTAAGCCAGTAACCCATCTATTATTAGACCATAAGTTGCCAAGGCCAACGCTTTTGAGGATGCTCCTATCTGTCTAATCATTCTCAAGCCTAATGTCTCCTTCAAGAGGCAAACTTCCTTCAAGGGCACACTTTAAAATTTTTCATAATGCGAATTAATTGAAACACGTTTGGAGCTGTTATATCGACGAATTCACGTCACTCTAATATGGGGTACAGATTAATTTATAATTTTATTGGATTCCAAAAATGTATACACTTCACTTGAAGTCATCAAAACTTCTTCAAATGTTGGCAATTTCCTTGTCATTTAAGCTGTCGTCATTGAAAATAATAAAAATTAAAAAAAACATTTTTGTTTTCTCTTTGCCTTAAATTTTTTTTAAAAAATATAATCAGCGTGGAAAACGTGTTACGCGGGAAGACGTGATGTGCACTGTCTGAACAGGGGCGCGTGGAGGAGAGAGCTGTCGTGGCTTTAATGAGGTCAGGAGAGAGAGAGAGTGAGTAAGTCGAGTGGTACAAAATTGACACATAGACTGACATAAGGCAGTGTTTTTATTTACGTAATTTGCCACTTTTGTAATTCTGAAATTCAACTTCAAATTTTATAAAATTTTATAAAATTTAAACCCCTTCTCTTCTATTCTATTGCGACAATGATGAGGCAGACGAATGTTTGGGAATATGATATACACAATAATTCACGCCCTTGGTCCTTGGATTCTAAACCCTAGGGATCCAACGGTGGAAAGTTGTTGTACCTTTTGAATTCTTGTACACCATCACTTAAGCTCATATACTCCGGATTCAAACCCTTACCCTTGTGTGAAGAAAGTCAAGGTCATACATTATGAATTAGAAAAATGTTTCATGTTTGCATTATGGAGATTAATTAAGAGGATAATGTCGTTTGCTGCTGATTGTGTTTGCCTTAATTATTTGGAGAACTGGGTTTGGGTTGGATGTCTCTTCTTCTTACTTTAGAACATGCTCTTTCATGGGACATGCTGTGATCATTTTCAATTTGAACAAGAGGTATGTACATAAACCAATTAAACAGTCCAAATTTAATTGGTTTAGATCTCGAGCTAAGAGTAGATTAGCCGAAACCAAATCGATTCATTTAGCAATTCACTCCATAACTGATTGAGTGAATATTGTATGTACTGTAAATTGAAACACACTTGTCATGGGAATTGATCACCCGCGCGCGATTAACTCTAGCATAACTCAACTAGATCGGTATGTAATATATGATATGAAATCAAAGAGAAAGTTCGGTAACCAACTAACTATTGATCGAGTGGTATTTCTCCCTTTGTTAAAAGAGGTCTCATTACATTTACACAAGCTAGAAAACATTACAGAACCCAAATCTACAAATTGAAGTAAGCCCTTTATGGATGGACCAGAAGAAAAGAAGTAAACCATAGGCTATATGATTTCACCAAAGAAAGAAAAAACAAAGTAACCCTATATGAGGACAAAAATGATGACTAGTTACTGCCTCTGCTGCCACTGCAGAGACTGGAGTACGTGCAGCCCAAATCAACAAAAACCCTAGTAAAGGTGAAAACCCTAAACCCTAAAAACACTCACACTCACAGATTTCTTAAACCCTAGATCTAATCTCAAATCGCAAGAAAAAGTAAAAAGCTCCAAAGTCCAAAATCTGCAGCAAACCAAAATGATCAGGAGTCTCTTTGATGAAACATTAAAAAGGAAAATAAAATAAATGAGCAATTTTAAGAAAACCTCCCAGAATTCTGTGGTGTTATGATTCTGCCAGATTTCAACCCCCCTAAAGAAAACCAACTCAGTTGTACGTTGTATGGCAGCTGGCTTGGCAGCAGAACCCCAGTTGGCACTATCTACCCAGATTTAATATTTACATGGGCCCATGTGGGCCTCAAACTTAAATAATTTAAAATTTATGACTTTTTTTTTTAGTACAAACCATAGAAAAAAAAAACTTACTTATTAACAGGAATAGCATTGTTTTGTTATCCCCAATTAATAACACAATAACACGTGAAAAGGTTATCCTATGTGTCATTGCGTTATTGGTCAAATATAACAAAAAGTGATATCCCTATTGTACGAGAGTTTCTCTCCTAAACTACAAGAGAGGATTTCTAACACACACACACAACTATGATGTTGTGAGGATTGAAACTTGAGACCTTCGGTCCGTAAGTCAATACCTTTTTCAACTGGGCTAGCCTTTGTTTGCAAAATTGTGACTAATTTATTAATTAACTCTATATATGTAAATGTAGATGAGATCAATTGACCAAAACTGTCTGCTCATTTTTTTCACTCGAGTTCGATCTCCTTCCCTGCAAATTAATTAACTAATCCAAATTATGCTTACATCCTCACTCACATAGCCGCACTTAGCTGTGTAAATGATTTGGATTTTCATAGATTAATAGCACTAGTACTATTTTCTTCCTCGTAAGTGGTAGTATATTTTTTTATTAATATTTTTTGACTAATCCGAAGGTCTTGGATTATTTTGCCCCACACAAAGAGGACCATGACACGGTTTCTAACTTTCTACAACGTAAAAGTACAGAGCAAAAGATTTTTTTTTTTTTTATAAATTTATAAAAGAAAACCACTACTTCACACACGGGGGCATATATTCCGTATCCTAATAACGCGTTCATGTGCTGCTTTTGATTAATTAATCCTCAATTATTATGATTAATTATGCCCTAATTATATATTTTTTGTCTAACCACTACATTATAATATTATTATATTGGTCATTATTATATAATCCCCAATTGGGGTTTTGGTAATTTTAATCAAATCGAATTTTGACGTATGAATGATGGAACATTCCTCTGTAAGCCCATGATAGTAGTAGTTGTGGTTGATCAGATCATGATCTTATTAGTTTATTATTTATGCAAGAATTAATGATTATAAAAATAAAATAAAAAATTAAAGTTTTCAAAAACACATGTTGCTGGAATTTGGGGTTTTGTGTTTGTTTATATTTGGTATGGGTGGCCCTCCCCAATGGGCAATAACCTAATTTCAACGATATCTTTCTTGCACTTGCTTTAGTTGAATTTTATTTACTTTTTCTTTGCTGGTTGGCTGTTGCCCAAGAGTACAAATGAAAATGTAAACAAAACAATATAAAATAAATAAATAAATAAAACATAAAAACAAAGGCGGACTTTGAGCAACCGACTAGCATTTGATTTAGTGATATTTGTTTCCAGTTGGTTGAAGGAAGTCTCATATTCGACTCATTAATTGTGAATTTTATTCCGGTACAACAAAGAAAACGAAAGTCAACAGATAGTTACATATCAACAAGAACTTGTTTTAATTGTAGATCATATTCGAACGACTGGTTCAAATACAATACACCTTAGCATAAGTGAACGATACACCTTAGCATAAAGTCATAGCTACATATATACTAAGCCAGACAATAGAAAAGGCAAGCCTCCCAAAATAGAACTTTGAGAGAAGTAAATTCACTTGTGCACCTGCACACGTGAGTGTGTTTAGTTTTCATAATTAAGTAACTAATCAAGTGCATAAATGTAGTTAATTTGATTGACGATGGAAGATGATGAACCATTAATTATATGGGCCCAAACCAAATGATCCAAGCACAACAAACTCATAATGCATGTGAAATTCCCTGATGGGTCTGCATCTACTGATCAGAATTTTGTATCTTATTTTGTGGAGAAATTTCAAAATAACCCCCAACCAAACTATTGCATAGATGTACACGGATAGGGAACATCCAAATAGGATATTTTGGGTTATATATGGACCATATGGTTTGACTCTTAAGTTAATTTTGGGTCCTCTATTTGACTCATCTCCCTTGGGGCAAAATTTGTTAGATTATGCCATTCATGCACTCTAGAGTCAAAATCCAAATTAAGTTTATGTTTGACTCTTTTCCGTCGGTTATACACTCTTATTCAGAGTAGTTATTTCTACAACCGAAGTCAATTATTTAGGAAAATTATGGACAATCGGCCAAGAAAATATTTCTAACATATAAAATAAAATACGTATCTTTACCCCTTTTCTGATTTGATTTGATGATTAATCTGGTTGACTCTTAAGTTAATTTTGGGTCCTCTATTTGACTCATCTCCCTTGGGGTAAATTTTTTTAGACTATGCCATTCGTGCACTCTAGAGTCAAAATCCAAATTAAGTTCATGTTTGACTCTTTTTCGTCGGTTATACACTCTTATTCGGAGTAGTTATTTCTACAACTGAGGTCAATTGTTTAGAAAAATTATGGACAATCGGCCAAGAAAATATTTCTAACATATAAAATAAAATGCGTATCTTTACCCCTTTTCTGATTTGATTTGATGATTAATCTGGTTGACTCTTAAGTTAATTTTGGGTCCTCTATTTGACTCATCTCCCTTGGGGTAAATTTTTTTAGACTATGTCATTCATGCACTCTAAAGTCAAAATTCAAATTAAGTTCATGTTTGACTCTTTTTCGTCGGTTATACACTCTTATTCGAAGTAGTTATTTCTGCAACCGAGGTCAATTGTTTAGAAAAATTATGGACAATAGGCCAAGAAAATATTTCTAACATATAAAATAAAATGCGTATCTTTACCCTTTTTCTGATTTGATTTGATGATTAATCTGGTTTCGTAACATTGAAGTGAAGTTATTCATTTGAAAAAGGAATAAAACGAGTTTTTATCCCCACAAAAGTGGAAGCAAAAGCAGTAAAAGGCATCTCAAAATAGGTCATGCATATGAGCAGACTCTAGTTGACCTTATCTGGATTCACCAGTCAGGAGACTGATGACAGGACCTGAAAAAACAAAAATTATAATAATAAATTTAAATATATTTTTAGCTGTTTTAAAAAGAAACGAGGGGCCACAAATGACATGAGGCTCCAAATTGTCCAACAAATCAAACAGCTGGAGCCCATCTCAACCATTTTTGGAATTATTTATTTCATGGAAAACGACTTCTGAAAGAGCTTAAACAAATTTTTATTTTATTTATTTTATTTTATTATTATGCAGTCTTTAATTTCGAACAGGAAGATTCAAAAGGTCGCCGGCACGAAGAAAATTTTCTAGAGAGGAGCCAACCATAATGTGCCACATTTCTAGACTCTTCGTTAAATTATTGGTTCAACTTTTTTCTTTTTCAGAAAATAAAAAAAACTTTTCAAAAGCATGATGGTTGTGAATTCAATCATGCCAATTGCGGAAAGGTTTATGCACTAATCAACGCCTCTCCATGTCAAGTTACAATCTATTAGCTTTGATGAAACTTGTCTTGGATTCTTTCTAGTTGCACAAAATATGTAAAGATTTCGTAAGTGTTGCCGTATTAATTTGTTCGGTCAATTGAGTAGATTATTGTTAAAACGTGATTTATAATTGACGGTCAGATAACATAGCATGTCGCATGTCTGATGAGATGAGAGCACATTGCCCAATTTTCCTACATTTTATTTCGTTTCATGATTCTCATTTCTTATTTTGTTGAAAGAATAATGCTTACGGGCCCATTTGCACTGTACTTGGGCCCAAAATATTATACGCAAAAATAATTTCGAAACAAGAGATTTGATTGTCGGAACGGGCAAAATAGAAAGTGGAACACATCAACAGTACCACCCCTTGCAAATAAGCAGAAGCACAATTCGTTTAATTAAAACCTACACTGCATAAGCTTTCGCGGTTAGCTCAAGTGGCGAGGGAGGGTAGAGAGATGTTAAAACTAGGATTGGTTAAGTGTTCGATCCATTCTAATGTAACGAGAAGAGAAAACATACAATGCATTGATTAAGGAAACTTAGCAGGTCAAGACTCGCTGGGAAGAACATTGAAGAAATGATAGACTTCTTCTTCATCAATTACACCTACCTCTGTTGAGCAAAGTAAGCAGCAGACTTGCTTGAAGGTTTGGTTACCTGCAGGAACTGCTTCAGTCTCAGAAGATTCTCTCCCACTTTTGCCCTTTCTAGGTCTTCCTTCTTTTTGATGGAACACTTGATCACTTCCAGTCGTGCAGTTAACAACAAACACTGCTCTGTACTGGGCTACATACTTTTCATGCCTGCAAGAAATCAAGCTCAGATGTAACCCAAAAATAAAAAATCAAGCTCAGATGCCATTTAAATATATAAATGAGTACATCTCACCAATAACAAAAAATTTTACTCACCATTGAAAACAAAACATTCTGCAGCTACTAGAGATATAAGGTTAGTATGACCTTTGCGGGAATCGGGTCGATGATTTCACACGCCCCTCTGCTAGTTGTACAAATACTTAATTTTTACTTTTTGTACACATAAAAATGCTTGTATGTATACATATATTTACTTTTTCATCCCTAATTTTACTATAACTACATGCTAACTTTATCAATACCACACCATAATTGCAACTTTTGGTAGCATAATTAACTATCACCTCATAGTACTTCAAAACCACTCAACTAATCTGATTGTTGCCTGCCTTCATCAGCTTTACATAGCCACCTCAATACGTATAGGGTAATTAATAACAGCCTAGATACTATATTCTACTACAACTAGAAACTTGATAACACCAGATATGTTAACCGTTCTTGAAAAAAGGCTAGTTAAGTCTAGTTTGCAGAAACAAGTCAATGGGACACTATATTTAATCAAAATATCAATCTTCTCTATAGAAACGATACCACAAACTCCATTAATCCATAACATGTTAGTCTATACACATCATCACTACGGCATAACAGTTGGAACTTTCCTCATCCCTTGACAGGCAGGAAACTAATTATAATGCAATCAATGTCAGTCTATAGTTCACAATGTAAAAGGCACCAAGATCAGTTTATGGTTCACAATGTAAGAGGCACCAAATGTTCTAAAGGAGATTAGAGGAACTTAGCTTCTGTAGAAACTTCATTTTTAAAATGTAAGACTACAACAGTTTATCTAAACTTTCATAAGTAGTTCAGAGCAGACTAACAAAACCATAACGAGACAGGAGAGATTACAAAACCTTGACTAGACTGGATAGAATGCTGCCAATTAAACTGTGGCATCTATCCAAAAGCTCATTTGCTGATCTGGCTTTCATTCTAAGTGTCTTTTTTTTTTTTAATAAAGAAAGAAAACACAAATCACCAAAAGAAAGTTTAATTATGTAGGGGAATTTTCAGCAATATAACAGTTATAAAAAGGATTAAGTAGTCATTCACATGTTTCCCCTCCAAATTGTTAAACTTGTTTTCTTAGCTATTCCCCCGTGTTTGGTTTGCTTTCAACTAGAGAGAATAAAGAAAAGGAGAAACGGTTGAAATATTTTCTTCTGAATAATGCAAAAGGAGAACAAAGAGAAGAAATGTGTTTTGGTAACAAATACCTATGAGCCCACTTTCCCTTCAAATCTTACCTATCTTGCAGAGAAAGTTTGAGAGGAAAACCTAGCATATTTTCTGCACTTAAGAAAAATAAAATTCATTCTCATTGATAGCCAGCCAACGGTAAGTCAGATAAATTAATTTAATTTAATTTTTCCTGATACCTAATACCTTTTCTACTCTTATTGCCCACTTTGTTAATTATCGAACTAAATAATAACTTACCTACGATCCTACAAACACAAATGACAAGTGCTTTTTAAAGCCTAAAATCCAGTACTAGATTGAGAAACATTATTATCCCAGCAAGGACCCATTCCAACCAATGCTAAATTCAGGAATCAGACCTATGCAAAGAGATATGAAAAATAAAATGGGATAGAGCATTCGAGTCTTCCTAACTACAGCAGCAAGAAAGGAATAGGCATGCCATAAAGATGCTTTCAGGATGGGAAAGGATGCTACCACTAACCACGCTGACATTCTTATTATAAAAAAAGTACTGACATTCATATCCAATGCATATACGGTATACCTTTGACACTCCAGGCATAGTGTGGTGAAACAAGATGGACAACTAAGCACAGCATCAGAAGTACGACCTTTCCTTTTCTTTTGAACCCACAACTCATCTTTGTCATCAATATCTGAATCATAGAACTCGGGTTTGACGGAGTAGTCTATTTCATCGTCATCAGAAACTGAAATACACAACATATCAACATGGGTTACATTCAAAACTTCAAAGAATTACTCCAGTCCATTGCTATATAACAGTACTTGGCTGGAGCTTCAAATATCTAAAAGCAATGCCAGACAAAAGATATGATTTTCAATTGCAACTTATCACAAGACATCCTTTCTCATTTGATCGTACAATATACCAAGTAAAATGGATACCATTCATTGCCAATATGAAATTCATTCCAATAAATTGAATACAAGGAGAATACAACCTATTAAACAGTCCCAAGACTCTGATAATTATGACGTTTAGAAAAATACTTTACTTTTGCTCTGAGTACAATTAATATAAGGGTTTTAATACAATAATATACCTTCGCATTCAAAAAGCTTACAAAATTTGAACAACAAACAATCACACTGACAGTATTCTAAGTTATTTAATCGAATTTAGAAATCACAACATATTAGCCCCAAACAAAATAATATGAAAACAAAGAAATCAAGAAATCCCTGTCTGGGTTCTGTTTGGTTGGTGAGAAAACATGGATAGGGAAAGGAAAGCGCGATTAGAATGGAGGGAAAATAAGACGAGAAGAAAGGAGGTGAAGAGAATTACCAGTTTTCTGAGAATTGGTTGGAGAGCCCACGGGGGGTTCTCTCTTGTCATCTCCATCTACTTCCATCTTCGTCTCTGCTCTGTTCTCACTTTCTTTCTTTGTATCTGCTGGGTTTAAGTCGGACTTCATTCGTATGGGCGTCTTCTCAAGTCTGTTCGGTGCTTCTTTATTTATTTATTTATATTTAATTGATGACGGTTTGGGTTGCGTCGTGAATAAAGGTGTCACGGTCTGAATTTAAAAAAAAAGGGTTAATGGCCTAAATGGTCCTCAAACTATTGCCCCATTATCATTTTGGTCCACCAACTAAAATTTTCAATTCAAATGTCCTTAAACTTTTTATTTTGTACTAAGATGGTCCATCCGTTACAGATTCTGTTACTTCTGATCACGCGATGGCTACGTAACTGAGTTTTGAAGGGTATATGCGACTTTTTGAGAAGCTCTATCGTTCAAAACCAAAATACCTCCACTTTGCTATGTGTTTCTCTCATTGCCCGTGATTACCATCGACTGAAGGGGATTCTAATGCGAGTTCCAAAATTGGTGGATGCTGTAGTAGTGTGCGAGTCGTTGAATTGGTGAAGTTAGTGTGCAATTTCAGTGTTAGTTTTGGAGTTCGAATTTGGGAGTTTGGGTTAGGGTTTGATTTTGGGGATTTTGGAGATTTTGGGAAATTCACTAGTTGCTGATAATGGAGTTCGATTTCCGTTCGGGTGGAAAGACTCCTAAATACGGTAAGGGCTTCTATAATGCATTTTATGTTGTTTTTGTTTGGAAATGGATGAAATGGATGAGTTGTCCTTGTCTGGAACTATGGTTTCTTTATGCGTAAAAGATTCCTTTTTCTGTGTTTGTGTTCGGCTTTTTGGTTGTTTTATGTTTAAAGTAAGGGTAACGGAATCGTTTTCTTGTATGTGGATTTGGCTTTTGCTACATTGACTGCAAAGTGTAAGCTTTATGTATGTGGTTCCTTGGTTGTGGTTGCTGTATGTTGAATATGAGGTTTTTTTAAACGTCTGTGGTCCCTTGGTTGTCTGCTTCACACTCAACTCAGTAATTGTTGTCGTTAGCATTAACAACAAAACTATGACTTTAGAATAACATACTGTTGTTTCAATTTTGCAGCTACCAATAGAATGTGCACTCTAGAATTACATCATGGGGGCTGGTTTGAAAATAGGGTTTATAAAAAGGGTAAGGTCTGTTATTTGGACAATATTATAGAGGATTTTCTGTCCTTGTTAGATTTACTGAAAATTGGGAGAGGTCTTAGGTATGATGTTGACATTTCTCAAGTTGAGCAACGTTTGGAAATTAGGTGTAAAAATGCTAAGGGTGGACTGGAGCTTGTTACATCAGATGCTACAGTGGTTGAAATGGTTGGTCACATACCATCCAATAAGGTTATTGTGTTATACTATAGTGAGATTCAAGAGTATGAGTATGATGCAGATGCAAAGAATTGTGATGGGGATGTGACTCAGAATTACCAAGTGAAGGAGGTGGCTTATATTGAAGTTGGAGATGAGGAGACTTTTGAGAATGTTATGACAAAAGTGGCAAATGAAGATGCGGTCAAAGAGGTACCAAATGAAGATGCATGGGTAGAATTACCAAATGAAGATGTAGGGGCACATGTGACAATTGATAATGAAGGGGCAGAGGTGCCAAATGAAGATGAAGAAGCAGATTTAGAAAGTAAAGACAGTGATTATGAGTTCAGTGAAAATGAGGGAGAGGCCAGGCCAACTGTTGGAGAGAATATAGCAGATGATGGGACTACTCATGGGGCTCCAGGAAAGGTGTCATCAGATGGTGCTAACACATCAGAATTTGACATTGGAAGTGAGACTGAAGATGAGGGTAACGGTAGAAAAAAGAAAAAACTGCCAAAGTTTAAGCAGTATAGAAGAGATGTGGATTTGAAAAATCCTAAGTTTAGATTGGGAATGAAGTTTGCAAACAAAAAACTACTGATAGAGGCTATCAAGGAGCATGCAATTAGACATGGTAGGGAAGTGAAATTGATAAAAAAAAACGACAACAGACGAGTTCAGGCTAAATGTGTGAAATGGTGTTCTTTCCAGGTATATGGATCAAATATTAATACAGAGGAAGGGACATTTGCAATAAAAACTTTGAGCCTAGAACATCAGTGTGGAAGAGTGGACAAGCTTAGGCATACCACATCAAAATGGCTTTGTGACAGATATGCAAACAAGCTGAAGTGGAACTCAGAGTTTGATATGAAATCATTTCAAGAAGATGTGTTGGAAGATTACAAAATAAATATCACAAAACTTCAAGTTTATAGGGCAAATAGGCTAGCTAGATATTTAAATGAAGGTACTTTCAAAGAACAATATGCTAGGTTGTGGGATTATGCAGAACAATTGAAATCAGCAAATAGGGGTAGTACAGTGAAGATTAAAACTTAGATTGTGAAGGGTGAGACAGTGTTTCAAAGGATATATGTGTGCTTGGCTGGCTGTAAGAAGGGATTTTTAGAAAGTTGCAGACCTGTTATTGGTATTGATGGCTGCTATTTGAAAGGGCCTTATCCTAGACAGATCTTGACGGCTGTTGGGGTGGATGGGAACAATGGTTATTTTCCAATAGCTTATGCAGTGGTTGATATTGAGAGTAAAGACTCTTGGATTTGTTTTTCAATCTTCTTATTGAAGATTTAGGGATTACAAATAGAAAAGCTTGGGTAGTGATTAGTGACAAACAAAAGGGACTTGTACCTGCCATTGAGACAGTACTTCCAACTGCAGAGCACAGGATGTGTGTGAGACACCTGTACAGTAACTTTAGGGCATCCTATATTGGTCTTGCTTTGAAACATATATTATGGGCTGTAGCAAGAGCTACAACTGTACCTTGGTGGGAGGCAGAAATGGAGAAGATGAAAAATGAGGATGAGGAAGCTTGGAAGTGGTTGAAGAAGAGACCTGCAAAAAATTGGAGCAGATCTCACTTCGAGTCACATTTTAAATGTGATATTTTATTGAATAATCTATGTGAAAGTTTCAATGCAACCATGCTAGATGCAAGGGATAAGACAATTTTGAGTTGCTTGGAGAGGATAAGGGTGTATGTGATGCTTAGGATGACTAGTAGGAGGTTTGCATGTAAGAATTGGAGATACTCTGTGGGGCCTAGGATCTTCAAGATAATTGAGAAGAATAAGCTAGGTTCATCACAATGCATTCCTAGATTGGCTGGTGAGAAATTGTATCAAGTGAGCCACATTTATGGTGGAGAATTTGTTGTAGACCTTAGAGCAAAGACATGCTCTTGTAGGAGGTGGAATTTATGTGGAATACCATGTCCCCATGCAATCTCAGTAATATTTCAAAGATGTGAAAACCCAATTGCTTATATGGATGATTGTTATAAACTCGAGACTTATATGAAGGCTTATGAACCAGTGATTCACCCCATCCCATCAATGGACCAATGGAGTAAATTTGGCCTTCCTCCAAGTAAACCTCCACTTTATAAGCAACAACCGGGTATGCCTAAAAGAGTTAGGATGAAGGAGCCTGGTGAGGTTGAAATACCAGCCCCCATCCCACCAAACCCTAGGCCTCCAAATTATATTGCTCCACCAACCAAGCTTAGAAGGGTTTTCATTGAAATAAGATGTCGTGGATGCGGTCAAAAAGGCCATAATAGAGCAACATGTGACATACAAAACAATGAAACCCAACAAGTATAACTGTTAGAGGGATTTTGTTTAGTTCTATGTTTAGTTCTATGTTATTTCATTCAAATAATGTTGTTATACATTTGCAGGTTAATGCATCTAGCACAGTAAGAGGGAGAGGCATAAGTAGAGGGAGAGGCGTAAGTGAAGGAATAGGAAATGTTGCTCAAGCGACTGCTTACCCAAATTCACAACAAAGTGTAAGCTTTGGTTGCTCTTGTGGTTTTAAATTGCAAAAGTCATTAGGGAACTGAAATGATTTATTTATTTTAGATGGCAAGAGGTAATGGAGAAGGAGGCAGAGGCATAAGTAGAGGAAGAGGCAATGTTGCTCAAGCCCCTATTTACCCAAATTCACAAGAAAGTGTAAGCTTTATTTTCTCAAAAATTCAATTTTTTATTGCTTATGTCATTGGAAAACAATGAAGACCAGTAACTTTTTCAGGTGACAAGAGGTAATGGATAAGGAGTCTTACCATCTTCACATATTGGCTTAGGAAGAGGTTTACCATCTTCAAAGCTAAATGTAATTAGAGGAAGAGGCTTAGGAAGAGGCATAAGTGGAGGAAGAGGCTTACCATCTTCATGGCCAACTGTAGGTTTTTGTCATTTGGTTCAATTCTTACTCATTTCACTAAATGCCAATTTTTCAACTATTATACACCTGACATTACTACATTGTTTACGTGGCAAGAGGAAGGGGACAAGGAGGACCGGATTTGGACAACATTTCCCATGATAATAACATGGCCTCCAAATAAGGGAAATTATTGCCAAGGCTGTCATATGTTGTGTATTTTGGGATATGTAATTGTCTGGCCAGAGGGATTTTGTGACAAAAGGGACTGATTCTGACTTTAGATTGTGTAATTGGTTTTGCTTTTGAAAGGCTAGAACTCTGTAATTGCTTGCCTATTTTGGTTTAGGCACTTTTTTGGGCAGGATAATTTTGTGTACTTTGTCTAATTAGTTTTGAGCTAGAACAGCTCAAACTGTGTAATTAGTTGTCTATTTTGGGTTATGTACTTTTCTAGGCAGGTGCATTTTGTGTCCTTGGTTTAACTGGTCTTGACGTTGAAGGGCTTAAACTCTGTAATTGGAATTGGAATGTTTATATGGATGTTCATTTTGTAAATTGCTTGTGTGGTCAACAATGGAATGGCTTTTAATTTGTTCTACTTAGTGGAATATTAAGTTATGTGCATCTCCCAGATATTCAAATAACCCCAATTTAAGAAAATTTAAAAACACTAATGCACACTCATCACAACTGTTATATACAAACCCCAAGACAAAATCAAGGAAACCCACATTATCCCAGATATTCAAATAACCCCAATTCCAGAAAATTTGAGAACACTAATGCACATTCATTCTACACTTGAAACAGAAGTCTTCACCATTACATTCAAAGGAACAAACCCCATAACAATTAAAACTTCCCACTCATCACAAATGTTA